CTGAACCTGGACCTGGACCAACGGAGGCGGGAACTCTTGGTGAAGCTGAAGGTGGCACACAAACAGAACCAGCAGAACATCCTGTGGAGGGGAACCAGGATGAAAGTGAAGTCGCCACTGTTGCAGCTCCGACTGTGTTCCTGATGACAGATCCAGAAGAAGAGGCTGAAGCTCCCATAACTGTGACTCCAGAACCAGAACCTGTCTCTGATGGAGAAACCGAAGTTCCTTCCCAGGCTTCCATTCTGACAACAACCATGAAGATCGGAGCTCGTGAAGACACTGGAAATGACAAGGAGGTGACTTCCAAGCCTGCTGAGATCCTAGATGCCCCCCATGGCCCTGAGGAGGTCCCACAAGTGGAGCAAACAGAACCTGAGGAAGAAGAAACCGTGGCGTCACCAGAGGTCAAAGTAGAAATCTCACATGAAGATCAGACTGAAGTGGAATCTTCTGAGGTGAGAGAACAAACTGGGACTGTTGCTGAAGAAGAAGCTGTTGAGACAGAAGAACCGCCCGAGGAACCGGTTACCACTGAAGGTACCACAACAGACGCAGCAGAGGCTACAGGACAAACACCGATCAGTGAAGAAGAACCGGTATCGACAGCAGAAGAACCAGACGAGCGCACAGTGGAAGCTACAGGAGAACCAGCACCTACAGAACCTGAAGAGGAGGAAGAACCGGAACCTGCAGTTGAAACTGTACATGAACCAGAACCTGTACAAGAAACTGCAGAAACAGTAGAACCTACAGGAGTGGCTGTGAAGGAAGCAGAACCTGTACAAGAAATTGCAAAGGAGACAGAACCCACAATAGAACCAGAACATGAACATGTGGAAGACACCAAATCCACAGAACCAGCTGAAGAAGTGGACGCTGTAAAAGAACCAGTGGAACCTTCAGGAAAACCAGCGATAGAGGCTCAGCCCGGAGAAGAAACTGCAGAGGAGTTGACAGAACCCACTGAAGAACCAGCACAAGAAGCAGAACCCACCAGAGAACCAGCACAAGAAGCAGAACCCAC